GACTCAAGGGGTGTCTGTTGTGGCGGCAGCTGTTGATCTGGCAGCAGCATGGAATGGCATACAGGTGATGTGGGATTCCCCTCCGTGTGCTGTGAATAAGTTTTATTACCATTGGTAAGTAAAGAAACTGCTTTGGCCTATGGCACGGCAGAATATAGCCAGGCTGGAAGACATGTGGAGAGAGAGGAGGCGGAGTCAGAGACACCATGTACTGCCGAAGGAACCTTACTGGTAGGCCACAGCCTCATGGCAATACATAGATTAATAGAAATGGTTAATTTAAGATGTAAGAGTTAGTTAATAAGAAGCCTGAGCTAATAGGCCAAACAGTATTGTAGTGAATATAGTTTCTGTAATTATTCAGGTCTGGGTGACCAGAAAACAAAAGCGTAGTCTCCTCAGTGATCCCAGCACTTGGGAGGTGGAGACAGATAATAAGGTATCCAAGGTCATCCTCTTATCACAAAGGAATCCAAGGTTAACACAGGCGTACGTGAGACTATGACCCAAGAAATTAGGGCAAGGGGACCTCAACTATATTCCATCTAAGAGAAACCTACTTTAAACATAAAGGCACAAATAACTTAAAAATAGATGCCACTGATATGTTATTGTTCAAAGAAAAGCAAAGGAGACCAGGAGTTGCTGGGTTACACGGGAGAACAGATCTCAGTGCAGAGCGTCACTATGGACTGTTCCTCTACTGCAGCTAGAGCAGTAAGAAACAGACATCAGTCTCTGCTTCTGTGTGAGCTTAGAGAACCCAGTTCGAGACGGAATGTTTCAGTGTTGCTACATTTCCTTACACTATAATATTCACTGAACAGCTCACCATATCCAGGGGGACAATAAAGAATTGAAAAGACAACAGAATGTGAGACCTGCCTAACCTTGGAACGGGTGCTGTCCTACTCACAAAGGGAGCCACGCAGTTAAATCTATTCTGGTTTCTCATCCCTGGGACAAGGCGTCATTTGGATTCTGAGGCTGGCCTGTGACTCACCACGCAGCACAGGCTGACTGCAGACTCTGTTGTCCTCCTGTCTCCACCTCCCAAGGCTGAGTATAGACATGCACACCACGCCAGATAACCAAAATTTAAAAGGGGACAAATGAACATTTTCCTAATGATCCACAAACTGCCAGCAAGCATTAAAACAAGAAGAATTAATTGCTGGGGAAGAAATGGACAACAAAGACTTAAGACTCCTGATGGGATGCAGACTGGAACCGTTATGGAATATAAAATGTAACATGTTACATAACCACTCATCAAACTGGAAAAACATTATAACAATATACGTTCAACAATTGGTTATTAAATTAAATTTACAGATTGTAGGGGTTAAGAAAAATATAAATCTCTCATATATAATAACTAAATATTATATATTTTATTTTTATATAAATATTATATATGTAAATGTGTTTATATATAAATATATTTGTAATGTATTTACTATGTATAAAACAAAATTATTCCCCTTACTTAACAATGAACCAAACAGGTTTTAATGTGTGTGATCCATACAATACATTGACATTAAATATGACAGCAGATACAAGTCCTAGTTGATATTAAGAAGTATCAAGAGCCCTGAGAGACAACTCTGAGAAGGGTGACCAGGAATGAGTCTTCCAGGGGCTTGAGCCATCTGTCTTGGCTGTCATGGTATTCAGGGATGAGTAAATTTCAATTAAGCCTCAGAGTTAAAGATTGTGCACTTTACCAAAAATATTAAAATATAAGTATAGCGAAAAGTGAAACAGTCCTACAAGTGCACACAATAGTATGAATAACAGTTCAGATTGGGCTTCACTACGATTGAGAATACAGAAATGGAAGTGTGAGCACAATAAACCTAAAGCACTGCCCACATTTCTCACAACACAACAGCAAGAACGCCCTGCTTACATTTCCACGGCACACCAGAACTGCCCTGCACATCAACGACCACACACAGTGGCAATGCTGAAAATACTGACTCTTAGAACTTTAAAATGATTTATGCCATATTAAATATGGCAAAATTACTAGGATTAATTTTAGAATTTACCAAACTTATAAAATTATATCTAGTCTCTTAACATGAAGAATAAGCTTTCTTATCCAAACTCTAAAGCCAGAGCCACTGCAGCTGGTTTAGGGAATTCCTCGTTTGTGTTTGAGGTATCTGGGGCTTCACTTCTTTGTTTGTGTGCTTGTTTTAGATTAATTTAGTTCTACTTCTTTAAACTCAGAAAGTATTTCACATTTTTACAAAATAGCACAAAACAATTCTAAAGCCTATGGTTTTGTTCTCTCCCCCACTCTTCTCCCCAGAGGCCTCCAAATCCCGTCCACCTCCTTCTATATTTGAAATGTTCAAAATAAAGACACAATTTCTTATACTTTAGAAATTCTTTATAAAGAACTATATTAAAAATCTGTATAACTTGTTCACTCTTCAAAAAAACAGAAAATGAAGACTAATAAGTACACCATTTGAAAAATCTCAATATTATTATTTGATGTATAATAACTGAAAGTGTACTATAGTCCATTAAATAAACATGTGTACATAGATGCATGTGTGTATATGTGTTATATATGCTTTAACGTATTTCTAATATAACAAGTTTAATAAGGAATGAAAATTAGACTATGTATCATGATTCATTGCAACTGTGTTCCAAATTACACTCCTTTGAAAGAGTGAAGTATTTTTACTCACTATACAAATTCTGATTTAACAACCAGAATAGACTACTAGTATATTCTCAAAAGAAAATCTAATTTAGAAAGTTAATTTCAAATAGTTAAATATTCATGAACGTTCTAAAGTTACTATGTAATTGGCTTAAAAATAAACCATAATTAGATAACCAAAAACTGAAAAGCAGGAAATGATTAAAAATACAACAGTATCAATTTTAATTACTATGTAGTAAGCTACATAAATAAGCCCTTATTTTTATCAAAATTTAAATAAACCAAGTGAAATCTGATCAATACATATGTTAGTCAATCTTAAATTTACATTTTGTCACTATCAAAATGTATGAATTACATGGAGATATTTCTGGAATTTTTTGAATGACTGTAGACATCTCCTCTGTATAATATAGAATATAAATCTCCTACTTTAGTTTAAATGAATAAGTTTACTGAGCAATGATCTCCAATATTTTTAACAGTAAGTATTTACTTCTACCTAAATGTTAAAATAATTACAAATTAAAACTTCATCAGTCAACACATGATTTTAAAAAGGATTCATTCTGTTCATAAAACATCAACACAGGAATTAACATAAACAAAACATTCAAACTTTTCTAATTGTGATGCATAAATTGACAATTTTAACTCCTGTTTAAATCTCTAAAAGGTTTTAAAGCATAACACTCTGAATGGGGTTAGTATAAATGAGTTGTTCAATAAACAAATGTGAGTTCAATTTAGTCAAGAATAAAAGAATAAACAAATCCCAAATGTCAAAAATTATTTCATCAAAGTACAAATTAACAATAGCACAGAAACATTTTAAAACGATTCCTAGAAATGAATCTGAAGACTTCAGTAGCCTACAAACCACACTGAAAATGAAGTGCAAGAGAAGTATGTCTGGTGTCTTCTCAGCCATCGTCAGAAAAGCCTCCTTCTGCTGCAGACAAGAACACATATAGAGGCCATGGCTAGACATTAGGCAGAGTGTGGAGACCCTAGAACACCAAGAGCTAAATGAGAGGACTCCATTAATCCCTTCCCTCAGGCTCAGTGAGCCTTGCAGGTGGAAACAGTTTTATAGCCAGGAAAACAAGGCGCTGGACGACATCATGTAACAAAGCAATGCAGATCCTGGGGCAGCACAGGGAGTGCAGGGTGCTCTAAATACAGCCTTAGCTCACAGTTCTGTGTCTTCATGGGATTTCTGAGTGTACAGGCCAGTGGGCCTCTTATTTCCTGTGCCTTCTCTTGGGCTCTTTTCCTTCTGTTTGTTTGTTTAGTCCAATCCCAATGTGTTTGTTTTTGTTCTATCTCACTATATTTATTATTATCCCTTAGAAGTCTGTTTTTTAATAAGACAGAAAGGGGGTGGATCTGAATGGTAGGGGAGGGGAGAAGAACTTCGAGAAGTTAAAAGAGAGTAAAGTATAATTAGGATATATTATGTGAGAAAAAAATCTATATCCAATAAAAGAGAAGAAGATAAAATAGAATACACACAGGACATAAGTGAGGAAACCAACTATGAGAGTCAGGGGTCCTAAAAATGTACCAGCCATGGATTGGTAATCGTAAATCTTAAAGGAAAGATAAATTATACCCAGTAGGCACAAAAATTAGAATAAATAAAAGTAAAGATTACTGAAACACATTCAAATTATTTTAAATTGATTTATATGAGCCCGGCGGTGGTGGCACACTCTTTTTATCCCAGCACTCAGGAGGCAGGCGGATCTCTGAGTTCGAGGCCAGTCTTGTCTACAAGAGCTAGATCCAGGACAGCCAAGGCTGTTATACAGAGAAAACCTGTCTCAAAAAACAAAACTAAACAAATAAATAAATTTATATGAAGACATTCCCCATTAATTTAATAACCAAAAAAACCCAAACATCACAGCCTTTTCAAGCTCCATGGCATCTTCCACAATACAGTCTGGTTTACGATTCCTGGAGTGTCTTTGGAGCGGTCATTCACCCACCACAGATAATCACACATGATACCTTATGAAGGGTCCATGAATGTCTTACTCCACCACAGATAATCACACATGATACCTTATGAAGGGTCCATGAATGTCTTACTCCACCACAGATAATCACACATGATACCTTATGAAGGGTCCATGAATGTCTTACTCCATCACAGATAATCACACATGATACCTTATGAAGGGTCCATGAATGTCTTACTGTTCAAGGCAGTGGATGGCATGTGCCATCTCTTTGGAAAAATCAGTATTCTTTCACCATGAAAATGTTCAACATCATTAGAAATTAATGTCCTTGTGCTTACCTGTATTTTAATAGGCCAGGAGAAGTTGCTGACATACACATAGAATGTGATATTAGGATTGCTTCTGAAGTTAAATTTTTCATAGGAAAAGCTATCTCTGTATTCCTTTATATTTGTCTTAGAAACTATAGGAGTCTCTTCCCCAGATATTGTTCCTCCTAAAATATGAATATGAAGAAATTATACTTAACACTAGAAAATGGGGGTCCTTATTAAGTCAAAGAATACAGTGCAGCAAAGTCTGACAAATTGAAATCACAAGAACGCCGGCAACGCCGGTACCAAAACTGTGCCACACGGGCAGCTTTCCTCCATGGAGGCTCAGCACCTACACACAGGCTTGCCAGAGATAGAGTGTAACAGATTTAGTGTAAAGACCACACTTCAAACACTCCCAAGCTGTGTCACTGGCCCTGAGACTTGACATTCTTCTGTAAAGCTCTTGACCACAGAGGTGGAATCCTTTCTGGTTCCAAATGGGGCTCTGTATCCCAGGAAGAAGGAAGCCTTTCCCCAACTACAGTGCCCCAGAGCTGAATGCCTCCAGGACACAGGGCTCCAGAGGGACACATTCTGCTTACCACTTAAATTACAACCAATTAATCCAATTAAAAACTGAAAAAAAAATTATTTGCCTTTCTACAAATTGAAACATCCCTACTTTTAAAAAAACAGAAAGAGACCATGGATTTAAAATACTATGCACATGTTCAATTACTAAACACAATATTGGGCCCTCAGTAAATGTTTACTGAGATTAACCAAGGGCAGGGCATGCCCAACCGCCTTTGCTGGACCTCCACCTCAGTGAACAGTGAAGACCATGAGAATCAGTATACTGCGTAACGGAATGCATTTCCCATGATCTATTCCAACGGTAGCTTGGGTGCCTTCTTCACATGCAGCCCCTCTGAGCTTATCACTTAACAGACGTGTTAAAAATGCCCTTACATGTTGATGAGTCAGCATAACAATTTATCTTCCTCATAGTTATTTCTTTTTTTTGTTTTTTGTTTTTGTTTTGTTTTTCGAGACAGGGTTTCTCTGTAGCTTTGGAGCCTGTCCCGGAACTAGCTCTTGTAGACCAGGCTGGCCTCGAACTCCCAGAGATCCGCCTGCCTCTGCCTCCCGAGTGCTGGGATTAAAGGCGTGCGCCATCACCGCCCGGCTCATAGTTATTTCTTAAAAATTATTCATTTCAATTTGCAAACTTTGGAACTTATGGAAGACATGTTCATAATACTTTTTTCTTCCTCTTAGCCCTGATGCCACCCAGAAAGAATATACTTTGAAGACAGAAAATGATAGTTTGTTTCTTTTATCAGTAATTACAAAAGAACACTTTTGTTTCATGTAAATATTGGGGTGATAATTAAATTTATAACTGCAATAATGAATTGAATAATTGAAATCTCAAAATCTTTAGACACTAAAGAACCAGTCTATCGTAATTAAAATCGTAGCATTTCATAACACCATTTAAATGTCTAAGTGGTGTGCAGTATTTGTTAGCCTCCTAATTTTAATTGAATAAGGAAGTTACAGTATGAAGCTTTCAAGTCACTACTTGGTATTTTTTTATCAGTAAAGGGGCAGAATTACGGAAAACAATTCCATTTTTATTTATTTAAAAGAACAGTAAATGAAACCAGAACAATTTCCATGCAGAAACACATGCAGGAGAGACATGAGAGCAAATTCTCTTTACCTGTTGAGCCAACCGACCATGTAATGTTGAGATTAAAGTTGTTGGAAGCATTAATCGAAATGTCCAAATTTTTGTTTGACTATCAAGAAAAAAATTAACATTAAAAAGGTATAAATGTGTTAAATGCGTATTTGTCAGCCCACTAATTTGATTTTGTACATTAAATTTACAAAATTGTGTATAATATAGTCAACCAAATAAATACACAGTGTTTATGGCTTTTTAATGAAAATTAAACTCAAAGTTCCTCATTTATCATCTCTAATAATTTGGTCTTTTGCTTTTACATAATTTCTAAGAAGAAATTGTAAGGACATTGTACTTATAAGGGTAGTTTGATATTATCACCATTAGTTCAAGGTGTTTTCGTTTGTTTGATCTTTGTCATTAGCCACAGAAGAGAGGGTCTACAAAGAGGTCTGGCTCCCTGCCCTGGAAGAAGGTGAGGTTTCTGTGTCTGCAGTGTGCGTGAGTGCTACAGCTAGCTCTATTCCTGTCAGCGATGACTGCAGAGCAAGTTGCAAGCCTCACTCCACTTTTCCTCAGCTCTTCCTGTCGTGGGGTGAAAGTGGGAGCTATTCAAAGCTCATAACAAAACGGTCAGGAGAAGCATATAAAAACATCTTTACTCTCAGTTCATCCTCCACAATTCAAAGTTTAGCTATTGGGGAAACACAAGAACCATAACTAAAGCTGCTCCTCGCTGGGTGCTGACGTTCCTGGTGAGCTCTATAAAAAGCTGTGATACCACAGCTAATCTAGAAAACAATGACATCAACCCTGTACACTGCTGGGGGCGGGGGTGGGGTGGGGAAGGGGGCCTCAGGACGATGGCTTGGCACAGAAGCCCGCTTTAGCAATGGTTCCTATGAGAGTGCTAACTAGAGGCAACCCACAGTGGAAAAGATTGGAATCTGTCCTAGAAAGTAAAAGCGCCGGAAGTCTACAAGTGTTAGGACATCTACTTGTTTTATTTCACAGGTCAAATTAAGAAGCATTCATGGATAAGCTGTCTTAACTTTACAGATCGTCCTGGGTGAACTGTTCTTAATTAAAAGGGATTACACAAGAAAATCTTGCAAGCATCCCGGGAGATACTTCTCATGCAAGCTTAGCACCAGGAAGTATGTTAGGCTGTTAGGTTAAAAAAAAAAAAATGGATAAGACTTCCTTAAACTTATGTATTTTTTAAAATTTACTGTAGGTAGTGAATATGTTTAATCTTCATAAACTTGTAGGACTACACGGCTGTGAAACAGGCTTTTGTGTGACCCCGTCAAACATTAGACTGGGACAAAAATCAATGCAAACGACAGATACGCTTTGCTGCAAATGAACAACAGCTTGACATAGCATGTCTGGAATCCTTGCTTCTTAAATGCTATTTTCACGAAACTTAGATGCCCTTGTGATTCAGAGAATTGGCATGTTTGTAACAGAATTTATGCCGATAACTAAATTTAAACTGGAGAAAATTGATATTTATTAGTAAAATGTAAGAACTCAAGGTAAATAAGAATTTGATGAATAAATAAGTCTATGGATATAGAATTCGAGCCAGGAGACTAGCAATCAAAAATACTAACTTGTCGACTCTCAGAATCAAATGCACATCTAAGTTTCATGAAAATAAATCTCAGAGATTCAGCAATTTCTACAGGATTCCTCCTGTGCAATACTTCTGAGGAGTTAAATCAGGACACCTCAGCAGGGGCAGCAGCCACGAGAGGAGGCGGTGCCTCCTTACCTGCTCTGGATTGGCGATGAAGTTGATGGCCGTGTGGTGGCGGTCATCTTCCTGCAACAGACTGAAGGTGAACTGGTAGTCAATCAGAAGGCTATCTGTGGGAAAAGGAGAGTCCTGACAGACACTCGAGAAAGGTCTTTATAGGCACAAGAGCTGGGTGAAAAGCCACTGCACATAGTATTAAATTCACCGTTAATACTAGCAGCTCACTCAAGGATAGGAAAATACAAACTCTGCCATTAAGCAGCAATAACACATGATCTAGAAGACTCAATTTACTATAAATTAAGTAACAATTAGATTGCACAAGCAGTTTTCCCTATCAAGCGGTACAAAAAGCAGTCAGCCGCACAATTCCTCAGGTAAACCAGGAGACACTCCATCTCCTCAGAATCTGAGAAAGCACATTACTGTGTATTTATGGGGATTATGAAGAACTAAGTCACTGGCATCTGAAACACAGACCTGAATGCCAATAACTTAATAATTGAGTGAACAACAAAACAAAAATATTAAAATTTAATATGTTTTAAATTTACACCAATAGATATAAGTTGAAAGTATCTTCTTATATTGAATTATTCAACCATTGCTATGCATCAAGAAAACAAGGTGTAAAGAAATAAAAAAAAAGAAATTTCAAAATACAAATGACTAGTGTGGTAAAATAAGAAATTATAACAAATTGACAAAATAAAAATCCTGGTAAGTAAACCTAGATATTCATATAAAGAATTATGTATGAAAGATAAATTCATACATAACTAAGAAATCAAATAATCTAATGTCCCTCAACTGATGAATGGTAAAATATGGTTTATTTATATTAAATTATGGTATATTATCCAGGCATAAAAATAAATGAAGTACTGATATCTACTCTATGAAAAAAGAGTAAAATTTTAAAATATTACACTAAATTTTCCAAGGTTTTCACAAATGACCATATATTTTATGATTTCACACACAGATTATATCTGTAAAGACAAATTTGTTGCGGGACAATTCTGTATTCTGTCAATTATGTTTTAAATAAGTGTTGATTGGCCAGTAGCCAGGCAGGAAGTATAGGTGGGACAACCAGACAGGAGGTAGAGGCGGGGCAATGTGAACAGGAGTATTCTGGGAAGAAGGAAGCTCTCCCGCAGTCCTGTCCAGACACCCAAGAAGCAGGATGTGACCTGCCCCACCAAAAAAGGTACCAAGCCATGTAGCTAACATAGATAAGAATAATGGGCTATATAAGTTATAAGCGTTAATAAGAAGCCTGAGGTAATGGGCCAATAAGTTTATATCTAATGTAGATCCTCTGTGTGGTTTTCTTTGTGATTTACTAACTATGTGAACTGGGCAGGACAGAAACCCCAACAAGTAGGCCCTCGTGTTATACAAATTGATAAAATGGTATCCAGATCTAAATAAAGGGGAGTCAGGTGCAGCCACTAAGATGTTGAGGCCTCAACTGGAGAGAATGAAAACAACAGAACCAGAAGTGGTGGCGGCTAAGTGACGATACACAGAAAGGCCGGCAGGCCGTGCGCGTCAACTGTTATACCAAGGACAGCTCAAATAGTTACTAACAACACAGACAGGCTGTTCTACAGGTGTGTGCACGTGTGTGTGCATAGCCACACTCACACAAACAAGTCATTTGTAAAGAAATAACAGTTTTTCAACTTGACCCAAAGTAGGCTCAGCTGGGAAATGGGAAGCTCAGTTTTGAAAATGCCTCCATCATACTGGAAAGTAGGACAAGTCTGTGAGGGACAGTCTTGACTAACACCTGGTGATCCCGTCATAGGCGGTGCTATCACCCTCAGTGTGGTCCTGAGTCGCATAGTCCAGCAGGATGGACGCCCTGAGCCAATCAGCGGCACTCTTCCACGGCTCTGCTTCAGTCATGGTCGCCAGAGCCAATCAGCGGCACTCTTCCACGGCTCTGCTGCAGCCCCGGCCTCCAGGCTCCTGCCCTCACTCCCCTAGTGACAGACTCTACGACTGTAAGCTAAACCCTTTCCTCACTTGTGGTCTTGTCTCTCCACCGCAACAGAAGCACTCATTAGCACAGACACCAATCACTCTTCCGTGACAACAGAGATCAAAAGACAGGCTGCAAAGCCATATTACTTATGGAAATGTATACTCAGTAATGCTTTCCAGATTCAAATACGATGATAATAACTTAAGGGGATAATAATACACAATATACTCATGTTTCACTTTAAAAATATAAAACTAAATTTAAATTGTTTACATTTATGCAACAACCAAAGTAAACAGAAATATGTAACTGACACAGAAGACTGGAGAGATGGATCAGAGGCTAAGAGCACTGTCTGCTTCTGCAAAGGACCTAGGTTCGAGCCACAGCATCCGCCTGGAGGCTCACAACTTTCTGTGACTCCAGCTCCAGGAGATCCCTTGCCCTCTACTGGCCTCTTAAGGCACTGCATGCAGATGGAGCACAGACAAACTTAAATGCAAAGCCTTGTATATACATAAAAATAAATATCTTAAAAGGAAATGGCACATAAATAAAAGTCACGGCAGGGAATGAATTATAGACTTAAACTTGGAAAATATAAGCATTATTAAAAAGAAAAAGATTATCTTGTTACGCCTATAGCAAGCTTGCCTGCTGAAGGTAACATAAAGCAGCTACAGTAAAAACTAAAATAACAAACCATACAGATATAAACATCCACAGATTCCATCTCAGAGAGTAGTTTATTATACTGGGATCATGTCTGACCTAAATCTGTATATAGAAAAGTACTTGATTTTTTAATATTAAACTATATCCAGAAACCTGATAGCCATTGTTATCATTTCATACAATCCATCTGGAGATGTTTATATTTTCTAACAACAGTGTGTCATTCACAAAACAAACAAAAACATTTTATGGTTATAATGTATGTAACCATAATTTATATTTTTAATAATTATGTTCTAGAGACCTTGGACTTTTTGTTTTGTCTGTTTAGTCTATTAATTAATATAAATATTTATGTATGTTAAATTTCTATTTCTACTATAATAATTCATATTGTAGTTTCATCATTTTTTGATCCCCATATTAGGATTACATCAATGCCTGTGTAATTCAGATATGTAGGAAGTACTGAAATATAATGTACGGTATATCAATGCTAAAAGTCTGCTGTGAAATGTGAAAACACTTTTAAACTAAAGACTTTAAAATTGGAGACATACATTTGGAATGTATCAAACAGTGTATTTAAAAAGTATAGATAATAAATAGGAGAAATACTTTAAATTTATTATTTTTTTTTAAATTGGCATGTTCATGTTTGTAGAAAAAATGCCTATCAATAATGCTCCAAAATTTTAAAGACCATCACAAGCATGTGTTTGTAGAATAATGCAAACAAACCAACAGCATGCCAAAGTCCTTGTGCTTCAAAAACTATAAAAAGCTTGGAAGGAAATACATAAAAATGAATGAACTGAAATAAATTAAGATAGTGGACAGAATCTCACAAACATCACTAATAACTACTAACTCATGCATAGATCCACCTAACTCATCATTAATCACAGATCTATCAGATGGAAATGCACGTCCATTCATACTCCACTCATAAGGGGCACACTTTCCTACAGGGTTCCAGACAATGTGGAGGAGGAACAGACCGTGGGCAAACATTCGCGGGATGACACTGGCGTCTCGAGAATTAAAAGGCAACAACAGACGTGGTTGTTTCCACTCACAAGCCGGTACAGAGACTCCTCACTAAAATCTGACCTAATGGAGAAACTGCAGCTAAGGAGATGCCGCAAGTGCCTGCCTGCCTCAGGTCCCGGCGGCCTTCAGCACAGGGAAGAAGAAAGCCTAGGAAGTCTCGGATCATAAAACAGGACGCTCCCTCTGGATTCGCGGTTTAGATCAATATAATGATGATTAACAGCAATTTCCATTGGGTAGAATCATTAGGGATTTTACTTTGCCCTTTAATCTTTCTTCCTAGAATAAATATGCTTTCTTCTATTATTAAAATTTAAAAAGGCATATTTTTAAAGGAACGTACAGATAATATCATTTTCATAAGCACTGAAATTTTAACAAGTTTTCCTACAATATACTTATATGATTAACATAAATTAGTATAGTCACAATCACTTCGAAGAATGGCATCTGGCTTCTAATTTGCATGCTTCTTACACACAGATACAGACGGTCACCCTAGTGTGAGGTGACTGACACACACAGTTACAGTGCCAGTGTCTGCACCCCCTTCAGCCAGCGCCGGACAAGACGCCATGAGACAAAACAGTGCTAGATGTTACAGACTGAAGATTTACACTCCAAAGAAAAGGGTGAGTGAAACAATCCACGCAGCTTTGATTATCTGATGTCCGCGATGCACTGCCAGCGAGTTTTACTTGACAAGAATCACATGACCTCCATTCTGTTCAACAGCCTTAACCAATGAACACGCACACGCCCAGAGCGGGAGCTCCAAACACCTGCCCTACCCTGCATCTGGTGAAGAGCCTACTGCAGCACTGGCATCTGCCTTTATAAATTTATTGCTACAATAATGTGATAAAAATATTTTCTCTTGTGCATCTAAACAAAAACATTAAACCTAATAAATGTATGCTCATAAATAATGTTTCTGAGTCTAAGACCTACAATACATTAATTAGATAAATCAATGCCAACTAAAAGCCTACAATGAGTTGAAAGGGAAGGCAGTCTGTTTTTAATAATATAAACTAAAGCAAATTTACTCAGGTACAGTGGAGCACAAAATAGAAAAGTTACAATTTTCAAAATAGGTACCAAGTTAGTACCTCGAAAGTCACCTAAATTCTAAATAACAATAAAAGTAACTAAAATAAGTCATTTGTTAAAAACTAAACTGTACCAAAATGTCAGCTACTTGAAAAACAGAGAGAAACACGTAACTGCAGTTCAGGCGGTAACATAAAGAAAGGGTGGACGCACAGACGACCACAAAGTGACTTATTGAAGCTAATTAATGCTAGCCTTCACATTTAGTATCTAAAATTTTCATAGATTCAGTCTTTTCTTCCAAGCTTAAAAGTTTCTCATTAAAGTGTTGAT